ACTAAATGACCACACTCGTAGGTTGCAAAGGTCCAAGAGACAGAGAATTAAAGATAGTTAGAGGTATGACATTAATTGAAGCTCTTAAATCAAGCATGACATTTTCAAATTTATTGTTACCAACAATGCAAGGTATACAGAATGTACCTGGGTCCTTACATTTTTCAGGAATGTGTGGAACAGCTTTACCTATAAGTTCTAATACATTTCTGCCCATGCTGATTCGCTCATTGCCCTTCAGCTTCCTCTTGTGGGTGCACAACTCCTTAAGAAACTTAGCATATCTTGGAATTTGCTTGATGGCATCTAGTAGAGGTATGTTCACCTCCACCTTCCTGAAGGTCTCCAATATCTCCTTATCCATCTCTTCCATCTTTTTGCTTGGAATTAATTTTGGTGGAAATGGAAGAGGGATAGGAGGTTGCAAGTCGCCACTATGTGCACTAGAAAAAGGTCCACCTGTATTCGAATTTCTGCTACCACCTGCAGGAACCTCAAGTGTAGGCTCAATTACAGGTACAAGTATTATTCCTGGTGCTGGTATTGGTGCGTCAATCTGTTTGCCGGACCTCAAGGTGATGGAACTCACATTCTTTGGATTGACCAGAGTCTATGAAGGCAACTTATCTAAATTTTGAGATTGTGCCTGATTGAGTTGAGTGGTCATCTTCCCCATCTGATTTGTCAAAATATGAATGGAGACTCTGGTCTCTTGCTGAAATTACATGTTTTTCATGGTCGTTTGCCACACTAACTCCTCCAATGAAGGCTCAGAAGTAGAAGGTTGAGCTGGTGGAGGTGCAAGAACATCATGTTGTCTCTGCTGCTACTGTTGGATAGGGGGAGGCACATATCTGCTGGGAGGCACATATCTGCTAGGACCAGCATTGTTTTGGAAGGGAGGGGATGGTTATTGTTGCTGCTATTGGTTAGACCATCTGAGATTGGGATGATTTCTCCAACCTGGATTGTACCTATTGCTGGAGAGGTCATAACTTTGTTGATGTTGTTGTTGGACAGGAGGTCTGTTGTAAATATTTGCAGCATATGCTTGGGGCGCCTCAGAACCTGCGAAAGAGTCTTGCAAGGAGGGACAAGCATCTGTTGGATGATTAATTAAAGTACAGATGCCACATACCCTTGCTACAGATGCAAATTTTTTATTTGCAACAAGTTGAGTCACCAGGTTGACCAATGCATCAAGTTTACTCTCCAGTTTTTTATCTGCATTAGTGGCCACATCATGAACGCCTCTGATCACAGTTGCATTGTCATTTCTGGTACTAAATTATTGAGAGTTGGAGGCCATTTTTTCTATCATGTGCCTGGCTTCAACTGGGGTCATGTCACCAAGTGCTCCACCACTTGCAACATCTATCATACTCCTCTCCATGTTATTCATCCCTTCATAAAAATATTGTAGCAACAACCGCTCAGAAATCTGGTGGTGAGGACAGCTTGCACATAATTTCTTGAATCTTTCCCAGTACTCATACAAGCTTTCTCCACCAAGTTGCCTGATCCCCGATATATCTTTTCTGATTGCAGTGGTCCTTGAGTCAGGGAAGAATTTCTCCAGAAACATTCTTTTAAGATCATCCCAGTTGGTGATGGACCTGGGAGCCAAATAATATAGTCAGTCTTTAGCAACTCTCTCCAATGAGTGCGGAAATGCCTTCAGGTAAATGTGGTCCTCTTGAACATCAGGAGGCTTCATGGTAGAACAAACAATATGGAACTCCTTCAGATGTTTATGTGGATCCTCACCTGCATGACCATGAAACTTGGGCAACAAATGGATTAGTCCAGTTTTAAGCACAAAGGAACATCCTCTTCAGGATATTGAATGCACAAACTCTCATAAGTAAATCCAGGTGCATCCATCTCCCTAAGAGTCCTCTCACGGGGTCCATTATAAGGTTTTTCACCCATGTTTTCTGTTTGAATTGAATCAAGCTCAGATGCAACAGTTACACTAAGACTGTCACTAAGACTGTCACTATGACTATTACTATCTAAAGATGGAATGATATGCTCTCTAATTAGTCTATGGAATGTCCTATCAATCTCAGGATCAAATGGATGCAAAAAATCAGGGTTATTTCTAGTCATACGCTACATGAAACTACTACATGAATAGTGATAGTGAACAGTAAAAACTACCACAAAAATCATTAGAATCTTCATCTAAATTTGGAAACCATTAAAACTAATGCACCAATATCATCCTAAAACCATTAGAAACTACCATAAAAAGGGAGATAAAAACACGAGGTATTTCCATGTAGTTGTAAACTGGAGGAGAAGAATGAACAGCTTAAAAGGTATAGAGAAAGATGGTGTTTGGATACAAGAGCCAAACCAGGTGAAATATGAGGTATCAAACTACTTTAGTAACAAGTTTTCAGAGGAAATGTGGCTTAGACCTACCCTCGATGGGGTCCAATTTTCAAAAATCAGCAATGAACAACGAATCTTATTGACTCAACAATTTGGGGGATTAGAAATTAAGGAAGCAGTGTGGAGTTGTGATGGCTCAAAAAGCCCAGGTCCAGATGGTTACAATTTCAACTTTATAAAAAGTATTGGGACGTGCTAGAGGCGGACATAATGGGGTTCATGAATGAATTCCATGCAAATGGGAAGCTACCAAAAGGGACAAATTCCTCATTCATTGCACTAATTCCTAAGGTTGAATGCCCACAACAATTGGGCGATTTCAGACCGATATCCGTAGTAGGTTGCCTATATAAGGTACTATCAAAAGTGCTCGCCAATCGAATCAAGATGGTACTGCCATCTGTTATTGACCAAATGCAGGGCACTTTTTTGGGAGGCAGGAACTTAGTGCATAGAGCATTAATAGCCAATGAAGTGGTTGACGAAGCCAAACAAAAGAATCGAAATTGTATGATATTCAAGGTTGATTTCGAGAAGGCATACGACTCAGTCAACTGGGAGTTCCTACTTTATATGCTTCATCGTCTCAGTTTCTGTGACAAATGGAGACTTTGGATAAAAGAATGCTTGAAATCTTCAAAAGTATCAGTATTGGTTAATGGCAGTCCTACAAATGAGTTCTACACACAAAGTGCACATAGGCAAGGTAAACATGTTGGCATCAACCATCCACCACTAGACGATTACAGATGATATACTACGGTTGGACATTGTCAGCATTAGAGAGCATGATGCTCAAGTCTTTGTGCCCACTATAAAGCTTCAGACAATAGCGTAGACCCTAGGTACCTTTATCCTATGGCCATCCAAGTTAACTAGGCCCAATGTGACTAAGGTAATTAATGTTTCAATATATTAAATTCTAATGATGTCTTTAATTAATTGTGTTTTACTAATTTAACTGTATATAATGTTGGGTACCTATTGAAAAAAGGGAAAGTTACTGCTGCTACACGTGTAGCAACTTCTAAGCTTTATTCAATCCATTGATTGACCTTTATAGTTATTGATCTTAGGAGCATGATGTACAGATAGACATGCCTCCTGAGTCGATATAGTATGTCGCAAACACTCATCATAAAATGGTCTTGTCTACAGTAGTAAATAGACATGTCACTTTCATCCCTTAAATTAATCTCAATATATCAATATTAGAAGACACATCCATTATCCTTATTGAGATGCACTCTTGCACACTAATCACAAAATGTTAGGCAATTGTTGGAGTTTTAAGCTTTGTCAAGTGGAGTTCCAACGCTGGACGCTACCTTAACCATTGGCTGATCATTCTTCAACTTATAAGGCTATATATAACTTCTCTTTGTAGGCACAACATCGTTACATTCTCTCACATTAATGTATTCTTTATAGTATTTTCACAAGAATTTATTTGTTGAAAATTCTCTAGTTTCATCACCCTGAGCACAAAATACATAATATCGTACCCTTACCCTTGACATTTTCCGGTCACATATTGCATAAATAGTATGATAAAGTAATCATAATCTATATAATAATACAATGCAAAGGGAAAAATTTAATTAAGAATAATTGAATATGATTTTGTCTTTAAACTTTTGTCAATTTTGTTTATACTTCCTTCACAATTTTTTATTGTTAATTTTAGTCTCTGAAGTTTTTGTCAATTCTCATATTTAGCCCTTGAACTTTTTCTCAAATAAATAATTTGGTCCCTAGTGTCAAATTTTCTTTTTTATTCATGTAAATAAGTTTGAAGGACTAAGACCAAATAAAATTTATAAGATGACTAAAAACGTATGAAATCCAAAAAAAATTTATAGAATTAAATCAATGAAAAGTAAGATAATTAATAAAACATTTTTAAATCATATTTTATTAAGAGTTTAGACAAACTAATAAGTTTTTGTTAAATAAAAAAACTAGTTGGAATGCAACTATGTTAGTTGGTTGTGGACTCCATCAAAATAGGACGATTTTAAAATAGAAAATGATTTTCAAAAATTATAATTTTATATGGTTGTATTATGAACCAAATGTAACATGTATGATAATGGAGAGCTCTGGAGAGAAAGGAAGCATATAACGCTGAATATTATTGATCAACAAGAACTTATGCATAACAGAGACAACAAGGGTATTTATAAAAAAAAAAAAGATAAAACAGAAAGCATAACAGAATTGGTTACAAAGTAACCCTGATAAAAGTAAACTAGCTATGGCAAAACTAACTATAGTAAAATTGACTATAGCTAAGACCCCCCCGCAAGCTGGGAATGGATGTTTTACATGCCCAACTTGGAACAAAAATGGCAGAAATCAGCAGGAGGCAAATACTTTGTGTATATGTCAGCCAATTGAAGAGATGATGAAATAGGTAGAAGTTTAAGTAAACCAGAATTGAGCTTTTCACAAACAATATGACAGTCAATTTCAATATGCTTGGTTCTCTCATGAAAAAAGGGATTGGCAGCTATATAAAGAGCAGAACGACTGTCACAATAAAGTAAAGCTGATTTATTGAAAGGATCTTGAAAATCTTGAAGCAAAAAAGTCAGCCACTAAATTTCACAAGTTGTAGAGGCAAGAGCACGATATTCTACTTTAGAGGAGCTTTGAGAAACCGTAGCTTGTTTCTTGGACTTCCATGAAATGAGAGAAGAACCAAGATAAACCGCAAAACCAGTCACAGACCGACGAGTATCATGGCAACCAGCCCAGTCAAAATCACTGAAGGCCTTGATCTGAGGATGACTGTTGTTAGAGAAAAATAGACCACATCCAAGTGCATTCTTGAGATATCGAACAATGTGAAAAGCTTCTTGCTGATGAGCAGATGTTGGAGAATCAACAAATTGACTTAAATGTTGGACACAATAAGAAATGTCAGGACGAGTATTGGTGAGGTAAATCAATCTGCCAATTAATCGATGATACGGAGTAGGATTAGGAAGAATAGTACCAGATTTTTTATGTAACTTGGTGCAGTAGTCAATCGGAGTGCTAACAGGTTTAGCACCCAATAAACTAGTATCAGTAAGGATATCAAGGGCATACTTGCGTTGACAAACAGAAATGCCAGTGTTGTTTTAGGCAACCTCGAATCCAAGAAAGTATCTTAAATTGCCAAGATCTTTGATGCGAAACATGGTATCAAGAAGATGAGTGATGAAGTGAATCTAAGAAATATTATTGCCAGCAAGGAGAATGTCGTCAACATAGACCAGTAAAGCAGTGAGCAAAGAATTATTTGACCATTTAAGAAAAAGAGAATGATCAGATTGAGATTGTGTGTACCCATGAGAAACAAGGAATGAAGACAAACGAGCATACCATTGACGACTTGCTTGATTCAAACCATAAAGAGATTTTTGAAGACGACAAACCTATCCAGGGAGTGAAGGAGTGATACCCGAAGGAAGTTGCATGTAAACCTCCTCATGAAGAATGCCATGGAGAAAAGTATTGTTAACATCGAGCTGTTTAAGATGCCAATTGTTCATAGTTGCAAGGGCAAGAATTAACCTAACAGTAGTGAGCTTTGCAACAGGAGAATAAGTGTCAATAAAATCAAGACCTTCCATTTGAGTGTAACCCTTAGCAACCAAGCGAGCCTTGTAACGTTCGATGGACCCATCAGCTCGATGTTTGATTTTATAAACCCAACGACAACCAATGGCTGTCTTGTGATGAGGAAGAGCAGTTAAAACCCATGTATCATTTTCCTCTAGAGCAAATATCTCCTCATGCATTGCCTTAAGCCAACAATCATGCTTAGAAGCCTCTTTATAAGATTTGGGTTCAGAAATAGAGGTAATAGACATAACAAAATGATAAAAAAAGAAGGAGATAGTTTAGCATATGACAATACCTGAGATAAGGGATATTGAATACCTGGATGATGATTGGTGTTAGTTGAGGTAAAAGCTGTGTGAAAATCTTTAAGAAAAGTGGGCTGTCTACTAGGTCATTGTGAACGACGAAGAGGAACAAGATTAGAAGGAGAAGGAGCATCAACAATAGGTGAAACAACTGGTGTAGTGGGTGAAATGGAAGATTCAGGGGTGTCATATAAAAGAGGAGACAAGTTAGATGAAATGAATTCAGGGGTGGTATCAGATTGAGAAATATGGTGAATGTGATAGTAAGGAAAACAATCCTCATGAAAAACAATGTTACGAGAAATCTCCATGTTTCTTAAGTGTAAATTATACACAAGATAACCCTTGGTGTGAGGTTTAAAACCAAGAAAAATGCAAGGGTTAGCACGTGGATCAAGTTTTTTGCGATAAACAGTTATAATAGAAATATAACAAAGACAACCAAAAACTTTGAGTGAAGAAAGATCACAAAGATGTGTATAAAGAAGTTCATATGGTGTCTTATTTTTTAAAAAAGGAGTTGGCAAACAATTGATAATGAAAGTAGCATGTAAAAGAGTAAAGGACCAAAATGTGGGAGGTAAATGAGATTGAAAAAGAAGAGCACGAGTAACATTTAAAAGATGTTGATGTTTACGTCCACAATATGAACCAAATGTAACATGTATGATAATGGAGAGCTCGAGAGAGAAAGGAAGCATATAACGCTAAATATTATTGATCAACAAAAACTTATGCATAACAGAGACAGCAAGGGTATTTATACAAAAAGATAAAACAGAAAGCATAACAGAATTGGTTATAAAGTAACCTTGATAAAAAGTAAACTAGCTATGGTAAAACTAACTATAGTAAAATTGACTATAGCTAAGAGGTTGAAAAACCTTATGAACGGATTTTTGGAATGGAAGATATTGTATTTAAAAAAAATCAACGACAGTATTATAAATGAAACAAGTTCATATGTTCAAAGTAAGATACAGTGCAAAGATAATCGATTTTGGATTCATTTCTTAATCCAATTTATCCAAACTTGTTACTACTCTTTCTTTAATTGAATATGGTTCCCAGAAAGGAATGTATATCATTTTAATTCGCCCTATTCATGAATTTATGATGATTTATCCACTTAAATGTTGTATCTCTAAAATCTTGAAATTCATATTCAACTCTCTGGAAGATTTTTTTTTTTTACAAAAAATTAGTAAATAATGTCTAAAACTCACAAACTTATTTTTACATTGATGAAAATCTTATCAAGTCTCACTACTAGAAGTTCTCTTATTACATGCGACTTTTCATGGGAATTTTGTATTAAAATTTGCAGCAAACATTATTCCTACGAATTTTTCTAGAAATTTTATCTGTATGTAATACTTTCATGAATAATATCTTTTTGTGAATTTTAAAATTCGCAAAAAATTTTCCTATGAAATTTCTTGTGAAAAAAATTCGCAGGAAAGTTTCCTGTGAATTTTTTCACAAGAAATTCTATAGGAATATTTTTTACGAAAAAAATTAAAGAAATTATTATAAATTCTATCAATAATTCTTTAACTTTCAAATGCTCACAATGAATTCATCCGAATCATTTGTTTCCATGCCTCCAACATGTGATATATAATCTTTTAAATTCTAAGATTGTAGATTATAAGCCTAACAACCATACAAATGCCTCCAACATGTGATACATAATCTTTTAAATTCTAAGATTGCAGATCATAAGCCTAACATTCAACCATACAAATCAACTTGTAAGGTAAGTATTGTCCCAACTTATATACTCTTTAATTGTTTATTTTTAATTGATGTGGGACTTGAAGTTTTTTTTTAATATTAAACTTATAATTTAAATATTTTTTTTATTTTTCCCGTGGATTAAAATTGGCAGGAAAATCTGCAAGAAAAGTTACCTGCAAAATTTTTCTACCATTTAGTAAACATTACTTGTGAATTTATTTTTGCAAGAAAGTCTACAAGAAACAAAATAAAATTCTTACAGTATTTTCTGCAAATTTTTACCATGGAAAAAAATTCTATAATCATTAAAATTGTAGCAAAATTTGCAAAAAAAAATTGTAGATTATTTTTCATAAAAAATTTTGTAAGAAATATCTATAAATTATTTTTCACAAAAAATTTCTGCTAATATTTTTTTGCAAGAAAATGACATATTTCTAGTAGTGTTCCATTTTTCTGGTGTGATGATGCTAGGAACAAAATCTAAACTTTTGTCAAAATGTTCATAGTTAAGTACTGCTACACATGCATTAAAATTGGTTTACCTTATTAGACTTAGCAAATGAGTTTTATGAGAGTTGCAAGTTACGCATTGATCCTATCTCTTCGCCATTTCTCTACTTGATTCTGACTCTTGGAAGCATTTACTGTTGTTCCTCTACAACCCCTTCAAGAAGTAGTGGCCATGAGTGGAACTCACCAAATTGAAGAGAAGCATAATTCTCCTAGTTTTACATGCGTGACAACGCATTAAATATTAAGTTGTATATTGTTGTTGTTGTCGTATTAAAGTTGCTTCTAAGTTGTATGAATGAGTTGGGTTTTTATGTTGAATTGTATGGTTGTTTGTGATGATGATTGATATGCATTTATTGCATGATTGTTAATATGATGAGGTGTGAGGTGTTTGGCTTTATGATTGATTTTTTTTTAAACTGTAGCTTACCCTTCTGTTTCCATGTGGTGGGATTGCGATGATCATACTTGGTATGGGAGCAGGTCAGGGCTAGCTTGGAGTTGAGGTGACCAATGTGAGACGGGATGTTTGATCCTCCTGTTAGAGTTACCACCTTGGGTAACAGTTTTATGCTTGACCGGCACTAAGAGATAGTAGTTTTGGATAACTGTATAAATACCTAATACTTAAAAACTTAATGATTCTTATATATTTTTTTTATGTTTTTGTATTTATAAGTTATCCAATCTTATTATTTATCTTAGTTCATTATTTTAGTGCGATTTCACTAAGTGTAGGGACCACGACAGGTAGGGATGGCAAAATTGGCCGTGGCCCGTGGGCCGGCCTGCTAGCCCGCCAATTTTTGGCTGGCTGGGCCCATTATTTCAGCCCGCCAAGCCGCCAAGCCCGCCAAGCCGCCGGGCCAAATAGCGGGCTGGCCCGTCACAACCCGCCAGCCCGCATAAGTGAGACTAGTGCAATGTATCCCTCGTCTGAGCCCTTGTGCATTTTAGAAGATGGTGTTGTTCTCATGAAAAACACATATGGCAAATTAGTTCTGTATAATCTGAATGATGGTAGGTTGGATTATCTTAGGATTAGGGGCGAACTTGGGTTTAATATGCATATTTACCATGAAAGTTTGGTTTCCCCACAATGTTAAAACCGCATTTGTGGATTCCATCCTGTTGTGCTTCTATGAGATCTGATTAAAGGAAGACTACTGTTTGTTTCAGGATTTTTGGGCACTGTGTTAATTTGAATAACAAAATATGGGGTGTCTTTGGTACGGGTTCTTTAGGTGAAACCTTACTGTACCATCTCATATATTGTTATATACTAGTGATGATTAAATTGAAAAGCACTTTTTCTTAAGAATTCAATTAATATTATAGCGTTCTTTCTATTCTGTTCAGAAAATGTATTATGCTATCTTGACTTGGAAGACATTTGCATTATATGTGTTGTGTTTTTACATGCATAAACACTGAAAAATAAAGCAATCTTAGTGCTGCAATAGTGAACTATTTGTCTCTGATATGTGATGGCCAACAGACGAGGGATACATTGCACTAGTCTCACGCCCAACTTGTTTTTAATGATAGCTGGAATCAAAGGAAACATGGACTATTTTTTTGCAAATTATTTTTTGGGTATGCGGGCTGGCCCGCCGGCCCGCCAACCCATCCTTAGGCGGGGCGGGGCTGGCCCGTTTTTCCACCCATAACGACAGTTTGTTACACTTTTATAAACATGAGGTTGTATTTGTGTATCTAACAAACCCGGTTGGACTTTATAAGGAGGGGGAAAATGAAGAGTGAAATAATAAGCTTATATCATTAGTATCTGTGCTGAGCAGGGTTTTAAATTGCAGTCCACAATTGCAATTGTGACCCCAATATTGTTGTTGTGGTGCTCACCGCAATCGTAATGGTCCGCAATTGCAGTGTGATTTTAAATCACTTGAAATTCTATAATGTAATCGCAATACAACCGTAATAGATCCATAATATTATTTTGTTTTGTTTTGTTTTTGGTCAAAATACATGCATAGATTCAAGTCTTAATCTTCTATTCTAATTATAAATTTGGTCACATGGGATATTAATGGAAGAATAAAGACAACTAATGAAGTCTATTGAAATGTTGGGATGTGTATGATGTATTCTAAGAAAGGGGGGACAAAGAGATTTTGAGTTAAAAAAAAAAAAGATATCTAATTGTTTGTTTATATTCGTGCAAATATATAATAATTTCACACTACAACAGTCAAAATCCACATAGCAGTAGACAAATTAGCTACAACCACAATAGCAACAATCGCAATCGCAACCGCAACCACAACCACAATTTAGAACCATGGTGCTAAGTAAGAATTTGAATGAGAAATGAAATGGTATATATGAGTAGTATCTAGTAAATAGACTTGGAAAACACACTATTACAACTTTATCATGTAGTGGATGATGATCAGTTACTCATTGTCTTATTTTATTAGACCACTGAGAGTTTTATTTACAGACAGAAACATTTGAAGAAGAACGCAAAAACTTGAAACAACAAGCAAGCAACATCACTAACAAGCTTAAACCATAATAAATCAAAATGATAAATCAAAAAGCAAAAATACCTACGAAGAGTGCAAGGAAACAACTACAAAGAGCATAGAAGC